GGGGGGGGGGGGGGGGGGGGGGATCGTAAGTTTTCAGCTTTCTTAGTTAAAGAAAAACTAGAGGTACTGTGAGCAATGAGCTCACTAAATGATACCCCCCGCCTCCCATAATGTCGATGTGTTGCTTTATATTGTTTTACGGTAATGTGTAAAGAGGAATAACTCGTCCTATCAAATGTTATCCAGAAGCTTCTATTATGTGACGTCAAAGGTAAACAAAAAATGGCAATGTCCATGTTTTGCTCTGGGAAACCTAAAATACGTGTCGAATAAAAAAGTAAAATAGGAGGTGCACAATGGCAATATGTAATAAAGATTCTGTGAAAGTTTCATTAAATTTCACTCAGTAGTATAAGAGGAGTTGTGGATAAGAGAAAAAGCGTAACAGAAGGACGGACGGACGGACGTACACGGACGGACGGACAGACGGACGGACGGAAATCCCGATCACTATATACCCTCCCGCTTTTCAAGCGGGGGGTATAATAAACTTGATATATTCCACCATATATATATTTCTATCAGTGATATTTTAACATTAAAATGAAAATCTTAACATAGCCAATCAGGTTGCGTCACACCGGTAATTGTTTTCACTATAAAATTCCATATCTAGAATAACTAGAGGTACTGTGAGCGATGAGCTCACTAAATGATACCCCCCGCCTCCCATATGGTTATAACTGGTGAAAAAGTCCATGTTTTCCTGTGGCCGGGAAACCCAAAATATGTGTCGGATTAGAGGTGCACAATGGCAATATGTAATAAAGATTCTGTGAAAGTTTCATCAAATTTCATTCAGTGGTATGAGAGGAGTTGCGGATAAGAGATGGGTACCCCAAAGCGTAACAGACGGACAGACAGACAGACAGACGGACGGACGGATGGACATACAGACGGACGGACGGACGGACGAGAATAACGATTACTATATACCCTCCCGCTTTTCAAGCGGGGGGTGTAACTAGAATAAAAAGTCGTAAAAAAAAATCTGGTATTTGTTTACTTGAAAAAATATCTAGCAAGAGGTGTTTTAAACATTACCTGTCACACTAGCTGACACACTCTCACACACAAAACGGTACCTACACGGCATTTTCTGACTTTTTCCATCTGAAAACAGGGCTACCCTCAAATCCACGTGTTTTCAATGTGTTTATAAACATTCCGAGTGTACCGCACGAAGTAGCCTCCTACTCCCGGGGAAAAAAAAAGTTCCTGTCAAAAACCTTTATTTGTTCAAAAAGTACATAAAATTTACTAGGCACAGGTAACAAAGTTGTAAAAATGGCTTGGAAGAGAATAGAAAAACGTCTCAAAAGAAAGGAAAATCAATTTTATATGTATGGACCTACATTTGACTAAATTCATTTTGATTGGTCAATTACCGGTGTGATACCTCTACCCATTTAGTACTCCTCTCCCCTCTTGTTTAACCAGGAAATGATGTCAACTTCCGGGAATCTGGTACCCTTTTTCCAATAATTCGACGCGCGGTACTTCCACAACTACCAAGTTCATCGTGCCCGACGTTAATTTATGCTCAGAAAAAAAAAACATACGTTAAAAATTGAAAGACAGCTTATTTCTACTGACGAATTAGTTTACTATAATTAAAAATTTTTAACTTTCTTTTTCTTTAACTTACTTTTTTTTTTACAGTATTTGATAAATATGACCTCCCCCCCCCCCCCAAAAAAAAAAAAAGAAGGGGTGCAAAGGCTTCTAAATAATTTGTTTTGTACCTATGTTTTAAACCCAGTAAAACTTAAGATCCCTCCCTCAAAACTGCTGACATTAATTGCATGTCTCGCCAACATCTCTCGGGGGAGTTTCACAGATTAACGTTAATTCGGCTTAAATAAGTTCGCTCTCCGGACAGACTGCTATGGTTTTCTTGGCATGAAAAATATTAACCAAAAATGAATATTTTTAAAGAAAATGAAGAGGCCCAAGGCCGGGCCACATAGCTCAACTGAGCAATTAACTGGCTAGGTAAAAGCAAAAACCAAACATGGCGTTGCTGTTCTTCAGAAGAAGAATTTTAAAGATTTTCCCCATGTATTCCTATGTTAAACTTTGACATCCCATTGTGGCCCCACCCTATCCCGGGGTCATGATTTGAAGAAACTTGAATCTTCGCTACCTAAGAATGGTTCCACATGGCTTTCATCATTCCTGGTCCAGTGGTTATTTGAGAAGAAGATCTTTAAAAAAAATTCCTATATATTCCTATGTAAAACTTTCAATGACCATTGTGGCCCCACCCTACCCAGCCCAGGGGGTCATGATTTGAACAAACTTGAATCTACACTACTTGAGGATGCTTCCACATGAGTTTCATCTTTCCAGGCCCAGTGGTTCTGGAGAAGAAGATTTTAAAGATCAGCCATATTGTGGCCCCGACCCACCCGGGAGTCATGATTTGAACAAACTTGTATGTACACTACCTGAAGATTATTCCACATGAGTTTCATCTTTCCTGGCCCAGTGGTTCAAGAGAAGAAGATTTTTAAAAGATGCTGAATTTTATTTACATCACCACCACTAACTAAAGCCCCCCCCCCCCCATCACACACACACAACAACAACAACAACAACATAATATTTCATTTTTACTACTGTAGGATAATTAAGTTATAAATAACAACCAATGAAAATATAAATTCCTGTTGAGTCTGTCTTTTCCTCACAGCTTTTGATTGTGTTCAGGTATAGCTGCATGTATATATGTATCATCCTAATGAAGTGGCATTTTAGCAAATGTAAGCCGATTTTATCTTTTTCTTCTCTTATTATGAGAATTCCTGTCTTCCTATTCACATGATTAATCAAGCATGGTAATTTATATCAATTACTGGTAAATTACTTAAAGCTAAACACGATTCCTAAAGAATTTGTCCGCCATAATTAGTTAACGTTACTCTGCATTTTCTGTACAGGGTCCCTTTATAAGTCGCTCACTTGGTCTTGATTCAATATAATTATATAATTTTCGCCGTATGGGCATACGTATCCTACATACTGTAGCTATTGTAAAACTCACGATAGTGATTATGTGCTTCTTTCAGGACAGAAGAGAAAACTTACATCAGTAGCAAAAAGTCAATTCAGTACTCACGAATACCATTTATACACGTAGTCTGCAATATTATGTAATGTAAACAAAGGTAATTTTAGATAACTTCTTATTCCTAGCTCCTCCATCAAAGCTTATTCTTCAGTTGACCGAGTATTGTCGAGCTTCTATACATACGGCGACAAGGGACTAAAAATTAAAAGAGTCTGTATTTACAATAAATTCATTTGAAACCGAGTTCGTCTTTACTTCACTAAACCAATCTTTAAAATCTGAAACGGATTGATCGAAGTTAAACTAGAACAAGTTTTCCTGCATAAACTTTTTTTTTTGACAAAGTATATATGCAAAAAAAAAAAAAAATGGGTGAACAAAGTGGGCGAAATGCCAATAGTGCAATAATCAAGAAATGAAATATGTTTTCTCATTTATATCAAGTTTCTTCCAAATTTTATATGACATCTATACATGTATATACTTTATGTAATATTTCTACAATTTACAAATATCCCCAAAAACTGAAATTATTTTCTTGTGAAATAACATACACACACTAAAGAGGACAAAAAGGATCATTTTTTCAAACTTTAACAATTTTTGTCAATATGAGTAAGGCTGACGCTCCATTTGGAATGTAAACCCTAAAACATGTAAAAGATTTACAAACAAGAGGCCCATGGGCCTTATAGGTTACCTAGTATTCACAGCTAAAAATGAACTCCTTTCGGAACAGATGTAGGTCAATGAAGTCCAACCTAATTTTCATTGGCATGACACAGGTATTAGGCAAAGCGCGTGCATTTGTGCAGCCACCATATGCCAATATTCACCAATATATACAATCAAACGCATTGAAGTAGTAACAATTTCCGTTTGGGTGAAACGTTCTGATTCATGTTTTGAACGTCAATTATAAGCATAATGACACACCCGTTTCTTTCGAAACGAAAAAGAAATACTGGGTATTCGTCGTTATGTTTAAGGATACCCCACTCTCTTCGTGACAAGCAACACGAGAAACACCGAAATGGAGACTTTTATGATTATAAGAGAGAGAGAGAGAGAAAGAGAGAGAGTTAGAGAGTTCCTGCTTCTGTAAAACACGTATTTAAACGATTTTGTACATATTAATATGAATTTATCAAGTTTATTGGAGTTACCATATCACATGTATTGGTCGAACACGTGCTTACTTGGTGTTTATGTAGACCGTCAATTGATTGACAATTATATTTATGGAATACCTGTTCAATAAGTTTTCTAAAGAACCATTTGTCCTATTTTTCCCTCTCAAAAGAAATGGTTGTGTCATCATATGCCAATAAACTTTTAAAGATAGCTCGAAACGTTTCATCCAAATTGAAAATTTTACTACTTTAATGCTCTTCATTATAAGTTAAATAGTCCTATCATACACCACAAAACACCAAAAGTGTTTGGTTAAATTAATCTATTACATACAAATACATGTTGCTAATTATTAATCAGGCCGGATTGTTCCGAACCTGGTATATTGATCAAATTTTTTTTTATATCTTTTTTTTCAGGATACATGACATGTACAATGGCCCAATCACAAGCCCAGGACGTCATTCGATGTCAATACTGCGAGGACGAGCCCGCTATCTTCCACTGTGTTCCGTGTGGAGATGAACTCTGTCCTCGATGTAAAGACTTCCATCTTAAAAGTAAAGTTCCTTCCGGACACAACATCGTCCGTCTGTCTGAGAGACTTCACCCAACAAATCAGATCAAAATGTGTGAAGTCCACTCATATAAAGCGTACGAAGCTTGTTGTGAAGATTGCCAAGTCCCTGTCTGTCTACATTGCATTCAGGAGGTACACGGAAAGCACACCATCGGGAAATTACAAGATTTATACGAGAAGCAAAAGGCTGAAACCGAAAACGAATTGTCTAGAATGAAGGGACAATATAAGTCTGAGATTATTCAGAGAATTAAAGATTTTAAAGAGGGAGAAAGAGAAATAACGACCAGTTATGAGAGCGAACGAGAGAAAATGAAGGTACAAGCCCAGAATATGATAGATCATATCAGTACCATTTTTAAAGAAGCCTTGCAGCTATCCGAGGAAGACGAGAGAAGAAATCGTAACGAAATATCTCAACGTATAGCAGAAGCTGAGGGATTTGAGCAAAACTTGGATCAACTGATAGAGAAATTTGAAACTTTCACAGAGTCAACTCATCCCGCCGACCTTATTTTGTTTCGAAAGCAAAATCCTGACATATTTAAGCAATTGAAACTTCCAGACAAACTTAAAATTGTTATGCCTTCCTTTACAGTTGGTCAGATCAAAAAATCTCAAAATGAGCATCAATTTGGCATGCTTTTGATTGGTAACGTTAAGTCATGCAATGAAAGTTTACAACCTCCTTGAGCGAAATTGGTCTGTAAGCAAAAATACTGGGCGTTCAGTAAAAATTAGCGAAAAAAAAACCCAAAAGGAAAAGTTATTTCACGTAAGTTGTCATGATGACAGATCAGCGTACATCAGTGGTGATGGTCCTGGAATACAACTGATAGACAGGTCAGGGACAGAGCTGGATAACATCAGTACAGATGGACAACCATCTGGTCTGGCTGTGATGCAGGACGGAAGTCTGATTTACTCTGACTACGACAATAAATTGATCTATAAAGTGTCACTCAACAAAGAGAAAACAAAACTTATTAGTACTAAGTCTGGTCCTAAAGGACTGTGTTGTACCAGGTCAGGTGATATCCTGGTCTGTATGGGTTTGTTTAATACAGCGAGAGTTGTCAAGTACAACAGTAGTGGGAGGAAGTCGCAGGAGTTCGAGACAGATCAGAACGGGGAGAGTCTTTTTATTGATCCATGGTTTATTTGTGAGAATGTCAACGAAGACATTTGTGTTTCTGATTGGAGAAAGAGTAAAGTGGTAGTATTGAACAAGTCTGGAAATCTTCGGTTTACATATGACTGGGTCGTCCTAGCTGGGATATTAAAAGACAGATTTGAACCGCGTGGAGTGGCTGCTGACATTCTTGGTCACATCCTCATCGCAGACGCCAACAATGCTGTACACTTGATCAGCCAGGACGGCGAATTCCTGTCTTTAATTCTGACAGAGGATGATGGGATATCACGACCACGAGGAATCTCTGTAGACAGATCTGACAATCTATGGCTGGTAGAAGAAGACAACGTTTGTGTCAAAATGTATCAGTATTTGTTTTAACTTTTTACCTTTGTTTTTTTTTCTATAAATATTGTTATGTTGTCCATATTTATGCAAATATCATAACAATGTCTCATGATTAAAACAGTTAGTTTTTAGCAATATTGTATTTATTCTTAGGTCACATGAATTTACTCAGACGACCTTTGCTATCTTTATTTGTTCGTCGTTGTGCGTTTAAAAACCTTTGAACATTTTCATTTCCTCCTCTGAGACTGCTCAACCAATTTTGGCATTTAGCATCTAACGGTAAAGTGGAACAAATATTGTGAATTTCATGGACCCTACCCCTGGGGCCTGAGGGATGAGAGCAAAACCACTAAATATAGTGCAATCTTTAGATATCTTTTCTTTTATTCATGTACATCAAGTTATCAAACTGTTGGCATGATTTTGATAAGCATTGTGCCCTCTACAAAAATTGTGAAATTCTTGGCCCCTCGGTCAGGGGTTCTAGCGCTAGTACAGGGCTTTAATGATTATTCAGTGAAAATGCCTTAATTCTTTAAAAATCTTCTCCTCTGCTCCCAAGTATTTTGCTGATGAACTAAGTACATAGTTATGATAAACAAGAGTGCCTCTTCCACAATTATGAATTTCATAACCCAAGGGTCAGGGGTTCTGGTGTTAGGGTCTAGGCTGTAATGAATATATAGTGAAAATGTATTAAGTATCTGAAATCTTCTCTGTTCCTGGGTATAAAGACGATTAAGTACATACATGTAGTTATGATGCAAAAGGATGCCTCTATCAAAACTGAGAATGTCATATAGCCCCTGGGTCAGGAGTTCTTGCACTTGGGTGGGCTCTATCAAATAATTAGCAGAACTGTATATATGCTTTAAAAATTTCTTCTGCCCATGATTTCTAAGCAGACTAATTAAGGACAATAATTTTAATGTGAATGTATTAGATATAATTATGTAAAGTAAGTAAATGTGCCTTTTCTTTGCTTCTAGGTACCGGTATATAAGAGGCCAAGAGAGTACAAAATTGTGATAAGTGACCAAATGAGAGTTACCCTCCTTTGCTAAATGTTGTTAATCAAGAATTGAATAAAATACAAGAAAGAATGTTATACATGTAGAAACAAACCTAAATGTTTGATTTAAATGAGCAAAGAATGCTTAAAGCTAGATTCTTGCCTAAAAAGCATTAAAAAGATAAACATAAATAAAAGATTCCATAGTAATTATATAAATAATAATTTTGTCACAAAAGGTCAGATTATATTTATGAACAAGAGGTCCAAGGGCCTTAACAGTCACCTGAGTATTATACAACACTGTAAAGGATCCATAGAAGTACATAAAAAAAATAACTGATAGACGAAGTAATGCTACCCAAGAATTAAAAAAAATTGGTAAAAATACCATTGCCTATTGTAATGAGCCAGACTCAAGTGATCTCCTTGGGATCAAACTTGGTTTGCGAAATCTTTTTAATACCCCAAAGAACATGAAGAACCAAAATAATTTTGAACTACCGTGTCTATATATGATTCCAAAACTTATTATGAATCGTTACAAACAAAGATACAAAGCGGGTTCCAGTAAATGTTCAACCAAGTCTCTTTCTTTACTTCTCACTAAGATATTAACACAAGATTTTACAAAAATAAACATTTTAAAAACTTATGACTTTTCAACTTTATACTCAGCCATTCCCCATTAATTAATGTCCATGCTTTTCGATATCAGTGACATCTGGTAAATACTTACCTTGTCATTGGCAAAGTAATTTGCAAAATTATTTTGTTAAAAACATTCTGATTGTGAAAATAAGCTCTCTGAAGATGACATCAAAAATATGCTTGGGTTTCTAATTTACAATATCTATGTTGTTTTTGGAGACCAGGTCTTCTAACAATCTATCGGAATTTCCATGGGTACCAATTGCGCTCCTATATTACTAGACCTATTTTTGCATTCAAATGAAACAGAATTTGTTCAAATTCTTATGTGTGAAAAGAAGAAAACACTTCATATGGCCTTCAACTCGACATTTAGTTTAGATATAGCGACGACGTATTGTCACTTAACAATGGCAATTTCCATTCTTATGTCGATACGATACTAGTATATTCTGGTGAGCATGAGAAAAAAGATACCACAGAGTCTGACACATCTGTTACATACTTTGATATTTTACTTGAAAAGGACGTTAATGGTAATCTAACAACCAAACTCTTTGTTAAACGCGAAGACTTTAACTTTTCTATCATCAACTTCCCTTACCTATGCAGCAATATACCTTCATCACCAGCATACGGAGTTTATGTATCTCATTTGATAAGATACGCAAGAGCATGCTCTACGTATGGACAATTTCTAAAACGGGGTAAATTATTGACAAACAAGTTGATGAAACAAGAATATCAGCAGTCTCGTTTAAAGTCATCATTTCGTAAGTTCTATGATCGATACAATGACCTTGTCAGCAAATACAATTTATCAATTGAGACAAATGCTGACTGACGTTTTTCATACTTATTGTTAGTCCATTATTTAAGAACTGACATGAGGACGGGTTTTTCCGGATTTTCCCAATTATGACAAGGAGCACACGGCAGGTGTGACCAGTCGGCAGGGGATGCTCAATCCTCAATGGCACCTGATCCAATCTCCGATGTTTTGGAGGTTTGTGTTTGCTCATCTCCTGTTTTATATAATGTTTTAAGGACTTTTGATCTTGAATACTGTTCGTTATCTCCATATCCTTCAAACATCGGTTCGGTTAAGATAATACAGAAACTAACGATCTTTTTTTTTAATCTTTTTTATTACAATAAATCGGATTTGAAAATTAATTTAAAAAGTAATCAGCACAATATCATCTAACTACAGACATTATCCATTATGAGGCACAATTTCACCTAACTACAGACATTATCCATTATGAGGCACAATTTCATCTAACTACAGACATTATCCATTATGAGGCACAATTTCATCTAACTACAGACATTATCCATTATGAGGCACAATTTCATCTAACTACAGACATTATCCATTATGAGGCAAAATTTCATCTAACTATAGACCTTACCTACTATGAGGCACAATTATCTTTGCAGCTTACCTATATGAGGGAGTGAGGTATATGATTTGTGTTGATTGATAACCAATTAAGGTTAGCGATGAGTTGACCTATAATCTCACATGTAAAAACTTAACATGACTAAGTAACTGAATAAATATATCATAAATAAATTTCTCTGATTAGGAAATTTACGACTATAGATCAAAATAGTGTGTCATTCAGAATCAGCACAACTTGATTATTCATATAATTTCGATATTACATAGAATTAGCAGGATTATTTTTCTTTACACATTTTCATCACAATTCAATCAACGTATAAGATGACAGACTTCTAAATTGCAAACTCTTCTTTTTCATAGAATATTTTACGGGATCATTCAAGGCAAATGAGCTACAGATGGACTGTATTTTCACCCAGCTTTGGTTATAATCACACAATCACACCCACCAGAAAACTAATTAATTATCATCAAGTGTGTACAATGAGCAGGTGTACGTTCAGATTTTTTTGGATGAAGTTGAATTAACAAGGCTAAGATAACGAGATTAATTATATTCAAGTTCGAAGATGTTCAGAATCGGAAGTTGCTGTCATGAAATTTTAATTTATTGTGAAAATTTTAGGCAATATAAAATTTTTTTTTGTTCATTTATTCCATATAAAGTTAAATTGCTGCATTAATATTGCTTTTAGTTATTAGTCTGAACTATTAAACGTGTCTGATGTTTAACAATAATATATCTTTTAAAATAAGTATGTGTTGCATTGTGTTTATAAAATTCGTGAAAGTGACATAGATCTTGGCAATTTAAAAGATACATAATATCATTGAACCTCAATAAGAAAAGGTTAAAAATAACCACCAATGACAAGATAATTTACTAGAGAGCCTTACGTTTTCATACAGCTTTTGTTTGTGTTCAGGTATGGATATATAGAATATAGCAGTTTTTATGCATTTGTTGTTGCTGTAGTTGTTGCTTGTTTTCTCCTTTGTTATGAAGAACTTAAGTCACCTTATATAATACAGAATGATAATTTATAATATCTATTGAATAGATTGAAATGTAAACCGAAAGTAGAAGAAGTATCCCTTGTCACCATATCAACCTTGTTTTCCTGTGGGTCATTAGACATTTGTTTGGCAAACTATATATATATCTGTCGTCACAAAATGTAAATGTACTTACCCCTTCCCTTTTTTGTTAGTGTACTATCAAGACTGAAAAATTGCCTAGTATTTAAAAATATATAGAAAAGATTAATATAGAGAAATAGATAAAGATTCAACCCTCTTACACTAAATTGTACTTTCGACCCACGAACAGTTTATAACTTTAATTTTTATTTATTTATGCACCTTTGTTTGCTTCAACTTTTATTAGGTTAACCAATATCACTCTGAAACACTGGAAACTACCCCACTTACATACACTATGTGTATATTATTCATGTTACTGTTTATACCAGTATCTTATCAAATATCTGGTCTTTTCGTACAGAAATTAACATCCAGTTTTTATACAGTGTCTGAAAAACTTTTTTTTATATATATTTAAGAAGTGTATAATAGAGGCATTTCCCTCAATTGTTCCTTTTTGGCTCAACTGAATCTACAGTTCAACTGAGCTGTTCTGATAACATTTGTCCGGTGCCTGATAGTCAACATTTACATTTTCGACTTTGAAAGACAATACTTTATCAATTATTTCAAACAAACGTGCATTATGTAAGTTCTTTTAAATGAAGCACCATGTCTTCTCAAGAATTACAAATAAGTTTTCGACATACTTAAACCCAAAACGTTCTTGATCAGGTAAGATGGAGTTCATACGGAAGCATCCTTAGATAATATCAACACAACTAGTCAAATGTTCACCCCCAGAGGCAGGGTCGGTAATAAAAGTTTTACACAGGAATGCATCAAGGAAAAAATGTTTTAAAAAGTCATCTTATTCAAAAGCATCTTCTGTAGATTCAAAATTGTTCAAGCCTTAAACCCTAATTGGGTGTGACTATAATTGGTTGAAAATCAAAAACTCGTCTATTATTTCAAGACCGTATAATGGCCAGATCTCAAATCCAGGACGTCATTCGATGTCAATACTGTGAGAACGAGCCCGCTGTCTTCCACTGTGTTCCGTGTGGAGATGAACTCTGTCCTCGATGTAAAGTCTTCCATCTTAAAAGTAAAGTTCCTGGACACAACATCGTCCGTCTGTCTGTAGAGACTTCATCCAGCCAATCAGATCAAAATGTGTGAGGTCCACTCATCTAAAGCGTACGAGATTTGTTGTAAAGTTTGCCAAGTCCCCGTGTGGTTATGTCTATTCAGGAAGTTCATAGCGAACACGCTATCGGGAAGATACAAGATCTTTACGAGAAACTAAAAGCCGAAACTATTGAGGAATTGACTACAATAAAGACACAGTTGAAGTCGAGATCAGTCAGAGAATAAAAGATTACATCATGGGAGAAAAGGGAATAAAGACCAGTCATGAGGATATACGTGAGAAAATGAAAAAACAAGCTCAGATATTTATAAATGATATCAGCACCATTTTGGCAGAAGCATTGCAAGAGTCTGAGAAAGATGAGAGAAAATATATAGTGGAAATAGCCCGACATACTGCGGAGGCTGAGAATTTTGAACAAACTTTGGATCAAATGATAGAGAAATGGGAAACACTTACAGATTCAACTCATCCTGTCGAACTTATTTTGTATCGAAAGCAAAATCCTGACATATTTAAGCTATTGAAACTTCCAAACAAACTAAGTATTGTTATGCCTTCGTTTTCAGTTGGTCAGATTAACAAATCTCAAAATAAGCATCAATTTGGCAAGCTAATAACAAGTAAGGTTAACTTGATAAAATCACCCGTTGAAAGCTCAAAACATATACAGCCAACTATGTCTGCAAAAGGAAATAAATCCAAGAAAAGAGTACTGGAGCGTTCAGTAAAAACAAGCCAAATAAAAGCTGAAAAGAGAAAGTTATGTTACATGGCTTGCCGTGATGATAGATCAGCGTACATCAGTGGTGATGGTCCTGGAATACAACTGATAGACAGGTCAGGGACAGAGCTGGATAACATCAGTATGACGGAGAACCAATTGGCCTGGCTGTGATGCTGGACAGAAGTCTGATTTATTCTGAATACGACAATAAAGTTATTTATAAAGTGGCGCTGAATAAACAGAAAACAGAGATTATAAGTACTGAGCATAATCCTGGAGGACTCTGTTGTACCAAGTCAGGTGATATCCTGGTCTGTATGGGTTACAGAGGTACAGCAAGAGTGGTCAGGTACAACAGCACTGGGGAAAAGTGGAAATTCAGACAGATCAAAACGGAGAGAGACATTTTAGTGATCCTTTCTTTATCTGTGAAAATGTCAACAAAGACATCTGTGTTTCTGAATGGAACTTTCTAAAAGTAAACTTGTTGTATTGAATAAGTCCGGAAATCTTCATTTTACCTATGACGGGCACGTCATAGCCAGTATTTTAAAAGACAGATTCCAACCCAGTGGTGTGGCTACCGACAGTCTTGGTCACATCCTTATCGCAGACAGAGCCAATAACGCCGTGCACCTGATCAGCCAGGACGGGGACTTCCTGTCTTACATCCTGACAGAGAACGATGGGATATCACGGCCATACGGAATCTCTGTGGACAGGCACGACAACCTGTGGTTGGTAGAACAAGAAAAAGCCTGTGTCAAAGTGTATCGGTATCTCTAGCTTTGAATGTTTGTTTCCGATCTTGTTGAGTTGTCCATGCTTATAAATAAACTACGCAAAGTGTCTCTTGACAAAAGCAGCAAGTACTTTTCAGTAGTATTTTGTGATGTTAAAAACATAACGTCTGTCTATGTTTACAGGAAATATAGTAGAATGTACTGTTACTAGTATTTTTACTGGGAATGTATAAGCAATATTAATTTTGTATTAGCATATTAGAAAAAGAGACTGTATCTTAAATAAAATCAATACACTGTAAATTAAGTTTCTTGTTGAGAGAAGTTTACATGAACTGATAACTACTATACATGTAGTGGATTTAGAAGTACTCGCATTTTCTTTACCTCCTTTCAAAACTTGCAGTATTAAAGATTCTTTGATTTATGCATATCCTCACCGTCTATAATATTGTATAAATGTATGAACAATTGATGAATCTTATATGTTGTGCCTTAGCCAATTATTGTAATTGACATCTTTATGATAATGAATATTTGTATTTGCATGTACATGTTCATAATATTTAAAAAAAATCATTCAAACCATGGTAATACAAATTATCTCATAATGTGAGATATAACCTCAGTAGAGAATCAACATGTAAATATAAGAAGAGATTTTATAAATGTCTTCAAGTTAATATCACTGCAATGAAAAGAGTTTAACTTCTGTCAGGAAAGAAGAGCAAATTTGAGAGTCAACAGAATACAAACATATTTTACATGAGGTATCGTGAGTTATCGTGTATATAAATGCAACAAGTTTCTTTGCAGAATAAAAAAGTAAAAGTAAAATGAAATAAAGCTGTTTTGGTCCTATACTCTCCATCCTCCTCCCAGACAAAGTAATTTAACTCTACCTGTAGAGGAAAGCCCTTGGAACTATGGAGTTAATGAAAAATATTCAAGCTCATAGTAATATTAAACAATGCAGAGTGGAAACACATGAGTTCCCCCCCCCCCCAAAAAAAAAAAAACATCAAAGGCGGAATCAGGTGCCATGGAGGAGTAAGCATCCCCTGTCAACATGTCTTCTTCATCATGATCGAGTAAACCCGGATTCTCCACCATGTAATAAATTGTCAAATTGATAAGTCGGTTTTTAAAGTTTACAATTTATTGTAATTCCAAAAATATGAATTTCACAAATATAATTTAGAACAAATTTCGTAGATGGAACAAACTGAATTTTACAAAGAATTTCTTAAGATTGACTCACTTACAACTCAGTCACATCTTATCTTTGACAACTCCGCCCACTTTCGTACTGACCAGCCGATTAAATTAAGGGTAGAAAATTGCAAGAACAGGGGGAATTCATATGACATTAATTTACAACACTGAAATTAGGTAAATCTAAGCATAACAATTCTAAGAACACGATCCTAAGATCTAACCATAAAGTTGATAACAAGTATATATGAGTAAATGACATTGATTTCGTGAAACAGGAAAGAGATGACAAGAATTAGATATTGGTAACATGTGCAAAAATGCCTTTCCTAAAAATCAAATGAAAACAATTAACTTTCAACTACAGATGTCAAACAAGACCGAAAAGTAAAAAACAATTATATAAAAAATATATTCATAATTAATAGTTTGTTATTTAGAATCCCTTATAACCCATAATCATAACCATGCCAAGAAATCTCGTCCGGTTTACGCACTGTGGAAGTCAATAAAAGTGTAATTGATGCAAATCACCCATATTCCCCAAACGCTAGCAAGACAATTTACGGCAGCAGATTTCGATTTTAGGGGGGGGGATCATAGGTTTTCAGCTTTCTTAGTTAAAGAAAATAAACTTGATATATTCCACCATTATTTCTATCAGTGATACTTTTACATTAAAATGAAAATATTAACATAGCCAATCAGGTTGCGTCACACGCCGGGTAATTGTTTTGACTGTAAATTTCCATATAGAATAAAAAGACTTTTAAAAAAAATTGGTAGTTGTTTACTTGAAAAAATATCTAGCAGGAGGTGTTAAACATTACCTGTCACACTAGCTGACACACTCTCACACACAAAACGGTACCTACACGGCATTTTCTGACTTTTTCTATCTGTAAACAGGGCTACCCTCAAATCCACGTGTTTTCAATGTGTCTATAAACATTCCGAGTGTACCGCAGGAAGTAGCCTCCTATTCCCGGGAAAAAAATAGTTCCTGTCGAAAACCTTTATCTGTTCAAAAAGTACATAAAATTTAATAGGCACAGGTACCAAAGTTGTAAAAATGGCTTGGAAGAGAATAGAAAAACGTCTCAAAAGAAAGGAAAATCAATTTTAAATGTATGGACCTACATTTGACTAAGTTCATTTTGATTGGTTAATTACCGGTGTGATACCTCTACCCATTTAGTACTCCTCTCCCTCTTGTTTAACCAGGAAATGATGTCAACTTCCGGGAATCTGGTACCCCTTTTTCCCATAATTCGACGCGCGCTACTTCCAAAACTACCATGTTCATCGTACCCGACGTTAATTTATGCTCAGGAAAAAAAACTATATGGAATTACGTAAAAAATTGAAAGACAGCTTATTTCTACTGACAAATTAGTTTACTATAATTAATAATTTTGTTTTTCTTTAACTTACTTTTTTTCTTACAGTATTTGATAAATATGACCCCCCCCCCAAAAAAAAAAGAAAAGAAAAAAAGAAGGGGTACAAAGGCTTCCAAATAATTAGTTTTGTACCTATGTTTTAAACCCAGTAAAACTTAAGATCCCTCCCTCAAAACTGCTGACATTAATTGCCTCGCCAACATCTCTCTGGGGAGTTTCACAGATTAACGTTAATTCGGCTTTTATTGAGTTCGCTCTCCGGACAGACTGCTAAGGTTTTCTTGGCATGGTAAAAGATCTCAACCCCCCTTTTCTGTTAGTTTGAATTCCATTTCTAATGCATCAAATTCTTTTGATATAATATATTTAGGCATAAAATGACTTATACC